CCGCCGGCATCATCGTCATCGGCGACGAGATCCTCAAGGTGCGGCCGGGGCCGGGGGTGAGTCGGGCCTGCGGGGGGCGGGCCGGGCCGGCGCCTGCTCCGGGGGCGGGGCCTGCTCCCGAGCCGGGGCCTGGCAGGCCCGGGGCGCCCCGCCGTTACGGGTGTCTCCGTCCCCCCAGGGCCAAACGCAGGACACAAACTCCTTCTTCATGTGCCGGCGGCTGCGCGCCCTGGGCGTGCGGGTGGCCCGCATCTCGGTGGTGCCTGACGAGGTGGACGCCATTGCTGGCGAGGTGGCCGTCTTTGCCGCCCGTTTCACCTATGTGCTGACCTCGGGGGGCATCGGCCCCACGCACGATGACGTGACCTTCGAGGCCGTGGCCAGGGCCTTCGGGGAGAGGGTCATCCCCCACCCCGAGCTGGTGGCCCTGGTGCACAAGTTCTTTGGCAAGACGGACGCGCAGTGCCCTGAGATGAAACTGGCTCGTGTCCCTGAGTCCTCTTACCTCAACTACGGCACGGACAGGTGCACGGGTGGCACTTTCAAATACCCACTGGTCAGCGTGCACAACGTCTACATCTTCCCCGGCATCCCGGCGCTGATGGAGCGCGCCCTGGATGGCCTCACCCACCTCTTCCGCAGCGAGCAGACCCGCTTCCACACCCGCACCATCTATGTGGCGGCCGACGAGATCCTCATCACGCCTGTGCTGGACCAGGCCAATGCCACTTTCCAGGGCCGCGTCAGCTTGGGTTCCTACCCGGACTGGGCCAACAACTACTACCGTGTGAAGCTGACGCTGGACTCGGAGTCGGAGCAGGACCTGGAGGAAGCGTATCGCTTCTTGATAGAGAAGCTGCCGCCAGGTGTTGTTGTGCCATTGGTGACAGACTGCGTCTCTCCGGCAGCCGCAGAGGTTTATGGCCTGGCTGAGTCAGGTACAGGGAAGTGGTGCTGCAGCATGGCTCAGTGCCTCCACACTGCTCCTGTGCAGAGGGCTGGGGTAGTGGGAAGACTGGCCTGGGAGCAGAGCTTACCTGCTCTGGTGTGCTGGGGGGCTTGAGGGGTGCTCAGGCTTTGCTGGTGCTGCAGTGGGCTCCATCCCACGCAGGTAGTAATGGGACCTGTAACCACAGTTAGGGCCAGCCAGTGCCAGTCCTTGAGAGCACAGCCTGTGTTAGGGGAAGTGGTGCCATGGTTCCCCTGTGCAGGCAGGATCTCTGTCCCATCCATGGCACAGACCTCCAGGTTGCGCAAGCTCTTGGCTCCAGCCTGCGGTGCCAGCGGTGGCTCCGCGGTGCGTCTGGAGACAAGACGTGCCCAGAGGCTGAGGTGCCGCAGGCCCTGGGGCAGCGCCAAGGCAGCATGGCCCCGAGCAGGCACCAACTGTCTCCTCCTGGCAGGCTCGGCCCTGGGGCAGAAGGTGGCAGCAGCACTGCGGACCATTGAAGAGGCTTTGGACCGGTACAGCCTGGCCCAGCTCTGTGTGGGCTTCAACGGGGGCAAGGACTGCACAGCCCTGCTGCACCTTGTCCATGCCGCTGTGGAGAGGTACCCAGCTGCGGGGCTCAACCGGCCTGGTCTGGGGCAGGGGTGAAGGGGTCCTGCAGACCCTGGCCGGGGCTCCGAGGCTCTCCCCTGCCCCACTCCAGTGGGACGAGTGGATTCCTGGGACCCAGCTCACGGGGACTGGGCAACCACCCTGCTTCCAGTCGCTATCTGCCAGAGCCCAGCTGCAACGGGTCTCTCCCCAGGCGGTGGCCAGTGAGGCAGGAGAAGCTGCAGGTGCTCTACATCCGCATCATGTCCCCCTTCCCCGAAATGGAACAGTTCATCCAGGCGACCGTCCAGAGGTACGGGGCAGAGAGGGGTGGGCTGCCAGGCAGGGGGTGAGCAGCATCTCCCACAGCCTGGCAGGCAGCTGCCTGTCCTGCCTGTCCAGGTACAAGATCGAGCTCTGCACAGTGGAGGGCTCCATCCGGGAGGCCCTGGTCCACCTGAAGGAGCAGCAGCCACAGCTGGAGGCCGTCCTGATGGGGACACGGCGGACAGACCCCTACTCATGCACTCTGACGCCCATGTGCATGACGGACCCCAACTGGCCCCCGTACATGCGGGTGAACCCCTTGCTGGTACGTGGCCTCCACCCAATCTGGGGACGGGGCTGTCCTTGCTTGGTGGGGGAGTGAGCCTGGCAGGTTAAAGTGACAGGGCTGGAAACTGGCACTAATCCACCCCCATCCTGGAGGGCTTCCCTCCCAGTTTCCCTTCTCCCCAGGGCATCTCCTGCCTGTTGCACAGCTGTGGGTGCCCCTCGTGGCAGCCAGGCTGCCTGGTGCTGTCAGGCAGGGCTCATTCCTGCCCGCTGGGGGCTTTTCCTGTGTTGGAGGAACAGGGGTGCTCTGGGACCCTGGGGACCAGCTGGCTCTCCTGTGTGCTCTTGGGGGGAGCCAGCTACCTTCCCTGGGGAGGACGGGGCAAACTGCCTGGCTCTGTGGCAATCCCTGCCCAATTTTGCCTGCAGGACTGGACCTACCGGGACATCTGGGAATTTCTGCGCAAGCTCTTTGTCCCCTACTGCGTGCTCTACGACAAGGGGTGAGTGTCCAGTGCTGCCCTCTGCTTGGCACAGCTGATGCCCCTGGGCGCAGCCTTGCAGCTGCTTTCTCTCTGCAGCTACACCTCCCTGGGGAGCATGGCCAACACACTGAAGAACCCGGCGCTGCGCTACACCGACGCCCGGGGCCACGAGAGCTACCGGCCTGCCTACGAGCTGGAAAATGAGGAAGACGAGCGCACATCCCGCCAGTGAAGGCCTGTGAGCTGCACTCGGGGAGGCTCTGCTGGTTTGCTGCCAGCAGCCGGCTCCCCCACAGATGTCCTTGGTGCTGCCAGGGATGACACTGAATAAACCTGCCGCCTGCCAGCACTGAATAAACCTGCTGTGCTCAGCCTGCGGTCTGTGTTACGCTCGCGCTTGGCCGTGCCGGTCCCTTTGGGCCCCGCAGGGCTCTGGCAGGAGCGGGACAGGGGGTGAGGCCAGCTCTGACCGAACAAAAGGGTCCCCAGGCCAGTGCCCCCTCCCCACACCCGCTATTGTGGAGGCTTTTGAAGCCCAGAGAATGGAGCAGGTTCCAGCACTTGCTGGGGAGCCTCATGTCAGCGTGGCTGCCTCCCCGCATCAGACCCCGCTGATCCCTCATCGGCCATGCGCCTCCTCCGGACCACAGCGGCCCGTCCCCTGGGCACTCTGAGGCGAGCAGCGCGGGTGGTGGCACTGCCGGCACCCAACAATGCCTCCCTGGGGCTGCGCCTGGGCTCCTGGCTGCTGCGGCTGCTGCGGGAGTGCGTCTACCTCCTCCTCTGCAGCTGGTGCATCCGCAAGTTGCTGGACTAGGGAACGGTCCCCCCCCGATGCCACAGGATGCCCGGCACCCCCTGCCTGCCTCTGCATGATGGGTGAGTGCCCTGCCCTCAGCTGCCTGCTCAGCACCATGTTCCTGGGGGGTGACAAGGGCCTGGCTGTGGTGCTTGGGGGTGACAGGGTGATGGGGGCCCAGCCGTGGTGCTCTTGGGGGGTGACAGCGTGCAGCCATGGTGCTGGTAAGGGGGTCCTCACCCCCTGTGCCTTTCTCCCCTCTCCAGGACTGCTTGTTGCCCCATCCTGATGGACCCCCAGCACTGGGACCCTGCTCCAGCCTGCGCTCCCCCCGATCACAGAGACCCCAATAAATCTGATCAGCACCTGACCGGCTGGGTGTATTTGGGGAGGGCTCTGGGAACGTGCCCCCCACCCCTGCAACCTTCCAACCCTCGCCCTGGGTAGGACCCAGGTACCCCAGCCCACGCTGTCAGGGGCCGAGGAGCAGGAGTGGGGAGCCGTGGCTCTGCCTGCCCCTCCTGCCTGTCTCTCCGCCAGCTTTATCCCTGCCCATGACTCAGCCCCTTGTTTAAAGAGCACCTCCGCTTGTCCCCGCTCCAGGCCGTTTCCTGCCCCATCCCCGCGCGCCCAGCCGGCACCAGTGCTGCCAAGAGCCAGTGGGAAGTGACCAGAGCAAAATGTCCCCAAAAGGCCCAGCCTAGCTGGAGCTGCAGCAAAGGTCATGGCCAGCGGGACACGTGGAGAACTGGGGCCCTGCCATGGGGATGGCTGGGGGTCCCCCAGCTGGCTGAGCCCACTGTGCCCCAGTGCTGCCTGCGCCGGCTTGGTGCCGATGCCTGGCCCCGTCATGGGGGCTGCCTGCAGCCCTGTCCCTGCTGCGGGGGAAGCTCCGTGCGCCCCAGCCTTGGCGGCAGCGCCTGGCGCCAGCACAGTCTCCCTTATCTCGGCGGGAAGTCGGGAGCAGGAAGCGCAGCCTGGCGTGGGATAAGGGTCCCGTTTACATTAGCCGCTTTGTTGTGGAGTGGGTTCCCACCCTCACCTAGCGCCAGGGAGGGGGAGCTCTGGCCATGGGGAGGACTTGGGGGGCAGCACAGACTCCCACCTCGGATACCATGGGGGGGCTCAATTAGTCCTTGCAACCCCTGCGTGGACACAAGCAGGGATGGGGGCTGCTGGGATGGTGCCCTGTGGCTGCACACCACAGGTCCACCGTGCCCAGGTTGGCTCCTGCAGCCGGACCCTGCCCTGTGGCCGTGCACCGGTGCGGTCCACAGTGCCGCCTGGGCTCCTGGCTGTGCCCGGCTGCCCGTGGAGCCAGGCCGGCTCTGGTAGCATGGTGCTGGGCATCCCTGCCTGCCAGAGCCCACGTGTCTGGCGCCTGCCCTGCTGCTGCCCGTCCTGGCCTCAGCAGCGGCTCGGCCCCAGGGCTGGCCAGGACGGGGTGAATCAATGAATTCTCCAAACGGGGGAGGTCCGGGGGAGGGGAGAGCATCCCGGCACAGGAAAAAGTCCTGGCAGCGGCACACCACAGGCAGAACGGTGCCGGCCACCCCGAGAGCACGGTCCCGTGCACAGCCCTGGCTCCTCGCACCCAGCTCCGCTGCCCGCCGTGAGTGAGACCCCCCTTCCCCAGGGACCCTTCGCCCAGCCCCATGCCGGGGGGGGGGGC